TAAACAGGAGTTTTGCCATCTCGTTACAGAGCTTAAGCATTGGAAAAAATTTGCTGGTCTTGATGACTTCTTGCATTAAATGCGCCTCAAAATGGGCCATCCTGAAACACAATTTGACTAACTTATTTATGCTAGCATGTGGAGTAAACATGCATATTCTCATACCTGTATTGAAAATAGAATAGATTGAATTTCAAGCTTAAAATTATTTCCTGTCATTTGCTTAGAAAAATTTCAAAGCTAGCATATGCGAAACCCACTTTTTCTAAAATTTCTATTTGCGTCTCCACAGGTTTACGATGTACTACATTTCTCTGTGATCTCGGTCTTCCTCGCGCAAGACATGATGCAATTTGAGAGGATCTTGATCTCTGGATCAGTTGAGCGAAATGGATAGACTTTCTCCGATTTTCCTGAAGTTAGCCGGACCAAAGTTCCCACGCTGAGGCTTCTGATTGTGCCCTAGCCTCTTCGCCAGCAAATCTTGACGATATAGTTTAGTTAATTTGGTTAAGCTATAGGCAGAGAATCTGCGTTTGTCTATACATAACACGCAGATTTACCTTGGCCCAGTGTTGCCTGGTCCTTGTGATTAAAATGAGGTCAAGCTCTGGAGCTGCCTGTCACGAAGCCATGGCTTTCACTGGAACCGAGGGGATATGTTTCTATGACTGCATCGACCGGCAAATCCCACTAAAATCGAAATGAATCGGGCCTAGTTTGTATCAAAGTCTGCTGAGATGCACAGGAGGCGAAGAGTGAAATAATGCAACGTGGCGATTTTGGGCAGCTCGAGAGGAGAGGGTCTTGACTTTTTAAAAGTCCGACACGGTGTAAAGGGGTTAACCAGTCTATTCGCGAGTAACATTTAAGCTGAATCACAATAAATCGCTTACAAAACTGGTGCATATGTAAGAAATCGAGATTTCTACTGGCCGCGGGCTAATGATTCCGAATAGGATAAGTAGCAAAATTATACCAAAACCCAGGCATGTACTTGATATCCCATGGAAGACATCCATTTGTCAAGTACTAAAGTGCGATATAATTAAATTTATGGATAGAGCATATCTAATGCAATGTTTACATTTTTACCCCTTTAGAGCCCAGGTCCCGGGGCGTACAATACGGTCGAACAGTCGATATACAAGACGCTAAGTCCCCATTGGACCTTGGTCAGTCGACAGCCACCGCCGTCTGATGGCACACTCAAACCTCCGCCAAACGCCTACGATCCACACATGGTAAAGCGTTCATTGAAAAGTTTGACAACTAATTTTTACCTACAACATTGAAATCCAATCCGTTTGTTAATTTGGTTATAATTGGCATTCTGATGCAATTAGATTTAGGCTAGTGGATCTTTTACGAACTAGTGAACAGTAAAGGAAAAATGAGAAAAATTCTTACATAAAAGACGAAAGTGAATTAAACGAAAAAAATCATACTTCAGTTACCTTGCCTAAAGGCAAGGTAAAGCTGGTCAACAAGGCAGGATTATTTGTTTAGGCGGAAACTGATAAAAAAATGATTTAATATACTACCTCCTTAAAACACTTGAGTCTATGGACTATAACTGGAGAGACTTAAGCTACGAAAAACAGATGTGCTTATGAAGACCATAATAGTGCAAAATTAGACTAGCCTCGTTTGCAAACATTGCTCTTGCTCCGAGGTAGACCCCGAAGAACGCATCTTATTCGGCGTTGCCATCATGCCAGACCGTGAACTTGGTACATTCACATATGCTTCGCCGGCATCTTCAGTGGACCCTGTTAGGCTTGGCACCAGGGCATAATTCGTCGAAGAAATAAGTGAAATACATCCCTCACCAATAATCTGCTGTACCGTTGTGGTGTCAGTAAGCGGAGCCCATTGAAAACGATGGATTACTGGCCAGTTGAGGCAAACAACGCGCAGGGTGATACCAGTGCTCTGTTGGCAGCTCTTGATCAGGCAGAAAGGATCTTTGGTTACATTCGTTTATGAGATGTGTTCGCCCTATTTCGTTTAAGGTGATGAAGGGCTGGTAGTTGAATTTTTCCACAATTACATGAGTACAGCTGACATTCACATTGAATTTCACATAGCCTTGTCTTCCCAAAAGGTGTTCGCATCCAGGGTAGACTTCCGTTTCGACTTCGTTTAGGTCTTATCAACACCCCAACGGGAGTCGAACCATGGCAGTGCAGAATGCAAGCTCGACACGCTAGACAATCCGCCGCATTGCCACGAGTGTCTTTGCGTCGCAGGGCGGATGTGAATTTAAAGCAAGGTCAGGCCTTTTCCACATCACATTCTGTGTTAGGATTGTCGATGAAGCAAACTTATATTTGCTATAGCAATCGACGAAATTACTTTTTTCGTCATTGA